GAAGGGAGGCAGAAAAAAGGAAAAAAAGGCATCTCCCACACATCTATGTTTTACCCTTACTAAAGATCAGTCACATGAAATTAAAACAGCAATAGTCCTCTTTGCATTTGAATGTAACCTAACTGCAGATTACTGAGTCTGAACATAAATTAACATAAATAGCTATGTCTTTTCTCAATGTTTACCTAGATTAACAGCTAATACTTTCCTTTAAAATAAAGAATCATGTGATTAAAACACGAAAACCCGATTTGCCTAGGTCTGTATCTCTGAAGTGACCAGATGCAGTTATCTGTGTTTTATGCAGTAACCAGTAGCAATCTCTGTGGGGCTTGAAGAAATAAAATCTACTGGAATGAATATATCACACTCTTGTAGATCCAACAGTCTATATCACCACAGAGATCAGCACTTTAAGAATCTTTTCCTGCCTCTTGAACTGAACATGTCAGAGGCTGGGGCATCCCTGCACTTACAAAACTCCCAGTGATAAAAACACTCTGAAATAGGTGCAAATCGTTAAGAAACAACAAAAATGAACAAAGAACAAGCATGCTGTAACTCTCAGTGTATTTCTCATGATCCTTTACTCAGAATGGTTTGCTACAGTTTAAATAAGACCTGTAAGTCCTAGCGCAGGTATACTCAGAGTTAAGAGTTTAGATAAATACTTACTGTGTATTACTGGGCAACTTCCAAAATACCTAATAAAGAGATTTGCATCTAGAGCAGCACTAGAAATAATAAGTTTTAAATGAGTCTGTTTTTGCAACACATCTCTCAATTTTATTAACAAGAAGTCACTGAACCTATCCCTCTCATGTACTTCATCCTGTAACAAAAGGGGAAAAAAAAAATAACAACACATAAACATCACAGATCCAAGATTATAACATCACAAATATGAACTTCTTTAAGAAGTGAAATATATGATTTGCTGGCAATTACAGATGCGTTAAAATGTGTAAATCTAATTTAAGCAAGTATTTTTTAAAAAACTATCCAAAAGTCAAATATTTCAAGAAGTTTTATAAAGGTATCAGAGTGGACTGCTCTGTTAATGCACAAGCTACATATACCTTGATTTCAGAGGTTAAAGTGAACCTATGAAATTTTTCTAATTCTTACATTTGAATCTCATTTTCAAGATAATGACACAAACTGCAAATCCTACAAATATTTTAATAAATTCCCACTTCACAATTGATGAGCATTTAAAGAAATGTATGATACCACCTAATCAGAAAAAAATTAGATTGCTTAGATCCATTAAGTCATTCACAAAGCTTATCATCAGTTAAGGCACATGATTATTTCACATAATTATTTTTGTTGCTGTGTTCTTCCATTTTGTTTTATATTATGAATTTATGAAGAAGGGACGCAAATACAACATTTTTAGGCTGAAGCCAAGAACATATAATTCATTCACATATTTTTTTCCATTCTGATAAACAGACAGGAACCTAAAATTATCATTTATTTTTCTTCAGCAGTGGAGAACTCGATCTTGCAATAACCATTCTGGTTCCACTGACTTAACTCCACAATAGGAATATTCACATAATCATAAATGAACACACTCAAATAATTTGCTGAAAATTAGACTACTCATTATCTTGAAAACATTTGGGCAAACAAACGGACTCCAAACCTGCTATTGCTAAAACAAGTACATGATATAAGAAATTCTGACATGCTCACATTGAATTATATCTACATAAGTCTCCCTAAGGCTTTTCTTCTTTTTGACAGAGGAAGTTCAGAAAAATTTAGAGCTCTGTCCTCCACAACTACATCATGATTCTATATTAATCATTGGCATATACCTAAAATAAGATACTTTTACCAAAAAAAGTACATGCTACAAAATTAAGACTCAGTAAGTCTTTAACATTAATTCAGATTCTAACCGAACAAAACCACCCTAAATGCTTAGCAAATTAATAAAGAAAACTAGGATCTCATATTGCTCCCTCACATGAAACACAACAGGACTCTTACCACAATAACATGTGTCACTGTTGATAGAGTGCTGTCTCCTGTCATTAGCGTGCGAAGTAGTATGCCATTAGTGCAAAATGTTAAGAGTGTCTTTGGAGAAACCCTATTGAACAGTTCACAAATATAATTCAGTCTTTTACACCATTTAAATGCATGCTAGCTTTCCAGTGCTTACTGAAAATTAAAGGATTGAACAGCTGCTCACCAGATGTGGAATTAGACTATAGTTCTCTCATCCAAGAATTCATGCACACTATTTGTTTTTAAACTATGCCTATTCCCAGCGAGTTCCTAAGGAATCTTAGTGCTTATGCGCCAAAACTTCAGACAATGGATTAATTATCAAAGTTAGATTGAAATGTATATAAATAAATAAGCAAGTGAAACGGAACCTAGAGAACCTCTCCATGCTGTTTAATTTACTGGAAAATTCAGTGTGGACTGCTATGGAAAAACAGGTTCCAACCATTCAGCATATGCTTGGATATAGTCTTTGTATTTGCCTATACGTGACTGAATCACAAAGAAATCAGCTGATCCTTTTCAAATGTTTTAAATTTTTCTGTTCAAGAATTTCAAAATCTTTAAAAGTTACTGTTTTAGTACCTGTGGCTGTGCAGCATTCTGGGTATTTAATTGCACAGAATTAGCTGTGCAAGTAAAAACAGTGATTGCCACTACGTTCTCCAGCAATGCTGCCTCAAGTACTGAAAAGTTCCTTTGTATTGCACTCTGCAGTTCTTTGCTGGAAGACGTGAGCTCACTAGTTATTATACGCATACTTCTTTCCAAGATTGGAAGTCATCCCTCCTTTCAAAAGTCCTCCTACGTATTAAATTCAAGGAACACGTCAAAGACAGAAATTATTTACTTTACCCATCTCTACTCTTCTTTTCATCATTGATCATCATTGCTGTCTAACAGTTAATAAAACTTAAAAAAATCAGACTCCTGTGTTACTGCAAATATTTCCATTCCACATCTTTTTTGCCCACAGTTGGAAATATTGCCATCTCTCCCGTTTGCCTTTTCTCTTGAGAATCTATTCATTCTTCTTAGGCAGGATTTTCTGCACTGCTTCCAGTAATTCTTCTATTTTGATCTGACCTATACTTTGCTCCTCTTCAGCCAGCATAGTACTTCTCACACATCAATCATCCACCTCATCTGCAATTCATTTTTACTAGCTCTTTTAATCCCTTAACAGCCTTGTGAGCTTTTGTACACATAGTCAAATTCCTTAACTTGCCTTTGCTGTTCAAGTGCACTCATTGTCATTAGCTATGTGATATCTTCATCCATAAAAACAACATAACCAGCTATACCTTTTGCCATCTTCTTCTCACTCATACACCAGCTGCTGCCTATTCCTGGAAGTCCCACTATCTACACAGTTCAAAGTATCTAGAAACCCCACACGATCTTCAGACTTTCACCCACTCCTGCTCTGCTTTAGGAACAAATTCCTCAGGTGACCTAGAAATATCTACTTCTGTATCACTTCATGCTTTAAACATAAAAGCTGAAACAGAGTAAATTTAATCCAATTAGATTGGTAAATAATGCTCAATTCCATCATTCACTTTCAAATTTTGCTTTTTTCCCTTTTATGTCCCCTACCAACTCTCACTATATAGAATTTGTTACAGCATGCTGATCTTCCTATCTATCTTCAAAGCTTGCAGAACTTTTGGATCTATACATGTTAAAAGTAGGAGGAGAAAAAAAAAAAAGGAGATAGAAAAGTGTAAACTTGATCTGAAACTAAGAGAAGGAATTCCACAGGCTCACAAGCAGAAATCAAGAGAAAGCACCTGCAATTCACCTATATAGGACAACTTACTACACGAAACTGCAAAATACAGGAGGAAAACTCTCTTTTTCACTTTTAAATATTCCATTACCTGAAATAACATTTCCTACCTATACTTTACATACCAAGCTTTTAGTAGGCTGTAGCCCAAATATACTGCAGTTTAAATGCACACGAGACTAAAGATACCAACACAAGATCAACTGACTTTAACAAATATCATTAGTACCTGCTTTCTAATCGGATCTGGTAACCGACTGTCTGGCCAATCTTTTCTCTTCTTTCTGCTGCCACTCTTTCAGCCACCGCAACAGCTGCCAAACGTCTTGGCTGAGTGCAAAATATACGACAGGGAGTTCCATTTTTGTAACAGTCATCAAGAAGGAACTGAGGGATCTGTAAAGAAGTGGTTTAAATTTACTTTTTAGTTTGATAAAATCATAGCTTTTTTACCACAGTGAAACAATTTAACTGCATCTCAATATTACACATTTTGAAAAAGGATTCACAATAGGATTATCATTGCAAACATACTTGAAGGGGCAGAAAGGCAGCAAATATATATTACTGATTTTAAGTTTAAGCTGTTTCAAAAAAAACAAAAGAAAGTTGAAGCTTCTCTCTCCTCCTTCAGCGAAATCTATGAAAAAAATATCTGTAGGTAATCTTTCATTTCAACACAATAATATTCTACTCCAGAACTAGCTTTGGAAGGAAAAGGGCTATACAAAATCATACCTACTTTCCCTTCAGTATTTTGTATTATTTTAACATAAACTAGTATCTATCAGAGAATTGTGCAGAGCCATTTATGCTTTTAGTAAGTATCTGCTGGCTTAATATTTCAAAAGCAAGAAAGTGAATTAGAACACAAGACTTTTAACTATATAGAGAAACAAAAGCCTTAAAACTAGCATAAAGAAATCCCTTATTACATAAATATTACAAAATTGGCATTGCTTTTATATAAATATTGTTATCTTTTTTATTTCATTGATGAAACATACTTGAGTAGTTTTTCCCGATCCAGTCTCCCCTACAATCAAAACAACTTTATTGTCCTTTATTATTTTGACAATTTCTTCCTGTTTTTCAAAAACTGGTAGTGATTGCCTGAAGGAATCAAATTCCGATTCCCCTTTTTTCACTGGAACCTGAGGGATGCCATTGTTAAGCCGTCCGCTTGTCTTGTTCACTTCTCTGTTTTCTGTGAAGAGAAGTTAACAATTTACTTGGACAGATACAAAAAAGGTCACTAAAACATTGCTTAAAAATTGTACTTAAACATTCCTGACTTCATATGCATCCCTACAGACAAAGCGACAAACCCACCACACATTTAAAAGCCATATGCATAGTAACGTATCCTGTTACAGTGCTTGAAGTACATCTTGTTCAAAGGAGTTACTACTTTCATAGATATTTTGAACAGAAAGAGACTATCCCAGTGCATTGCTCAAAGTCAAAAAAGGTCATGAATAGCAAAAAGAGAAATAGAAACTAAACCCAAGAAAAGCAGCCTGGCATGCTTTCTTGGCCTTTGTATCATGTTTACACATTCACACCTCCAATTTGCCTAGAAATAGTCACTGTATAGTTAAACCTTTAAGTTATTCCAAACTGACAAACATGTCTTCTGAGAAAAAGATAACTTTGCTGTGATTCATATGCCTTCTTTCATACCCTCTCTGGTCTTTTACAACCTCCTTTCAGTCAGTCTTACATAACCTAGTGCTCTGGTCCATCAGATTTGTCTTAAATCATACAAATTGAACCATGCTGTATCTAGACCCCTGGACCCACACAGCACAGTGTGATGTATTAGAAAACAACACATAAGTAGGCAAAGAACCCGCATGTCTTCAGAGAAGACTACTTCAAATTCAGTATTCTAAATGCTATTCTATAATTCATTAGTAATTATTTTCCAGAATAATGAAAAGCTTGCTGTAAATTCAATTATACATATTTAATGTGATTAACAGTTTAATATATTGCATTACAAGCGCTGTCTTACCAAGACAGGCACAGGCTAACAGATTAAAAGAGCAAAAAACCATTCTGGAGAAGTAAAAAATGCGAAATTTTACATTATTCATTAGTTTACGCCTTACATTTCTAAGGAATTGCTTTTCAGTACTTTTATGATAGTTTCCCTCTGCTCATTAAACAATCCTATTAAAAAATTGAAATAATCAAAAAAGAAAAATAACAAAGGAAGCAATTAAAAGCATGAACAATCATAAATTAGAAATATCCAATGAATCAAGGCATACTGGTACAAGTGTTTTATGTGCACTACACCCAGTTTTACACAGAGAAACACAACATAACTCTCACACTCATAACTGTTAGAGTAATCATCTTGTTAAAAGCATCTAAAAAACCCAAAACACATTATATCAGAAGTTTGTCTTCCAGTGAACTCTCATATTCCAGAAATCAAGAAGTCTAGGTAGTAGTCTCTTAGGGACCAAATCTATTTTAGAAGATGACAAAACAAAAAAATTAAATTCTTATTTTACCAAGAACATGAATTTCTATAAGCAGAACAGCCAGCCTTCATTTTCTCACAAGGGTTTCTTATACAGCAGTCATGGTAACACATTTCTCTTCAATCTCACCTCACAGAATTTGTAGGAACTCACATTTCAGAAATGTACTTCCAAATAAATTTGGTTGGAACTGGCTCAAAGATTCAAAAGTAACTTGGCACAAAGGAGACATGGAAACGTGGGTGACTTGACTGCCTAAGTTCTTCATGACACCACTTTTAACAGACGCTATATTAAAAATTAAAAGTCAAAAAAATGGGTTTGTTTAGGTGCAAGGTGTCAGTTGGGATGGGAAAGGAGACATAAAAGCTTTTGTTTTGTGCTTGGATTGTGAGTTGTTTGTTTTTTTAAGCAGTGTTGATTCACAAGTCTGTATGAGAAGATACACTGAACATACCAGATTCCACAGTACATGCATTTCCTCGCTCTGTCTTTGGCAGAAGTTCTGTTCGTTCTTTATTTGTGACAGGAAATCTCTGAATTAAACTCCGAACAGCATGTTTTGTACTGGGAGCCAAACAACAAGTCATTACTGCATGTGTTAGTTCTGATCCATCCTTCTTCCTTACAGTCAGGTATCTATTTGCTCCTTTTCTGGGGGGGGAAAAAAAGTATTTTAGGAATAAGTAACCTATTTACTTTTATGTAATGATCTTTGACGATAATTTTTTCAAGATGGCTGCCAGTTTATTTTCAAATAAAATGTCCTAACTAGAAACTTCCAAATAATGTCTTATGTAGCATAACACACTAAAATAACAGCAGCATCCACAATATGCACCATCAAACCACCCTCTATTTACGTAAGATAGTGCAGCACAGGCACCGCAGACTTTGGATGACTACGCCCAGCACAGCCTTACAGTTAGGCTTTTGTAATATAACACTGTTCTGCTACCTTTCTCTTAAAGGTCTATCACTGTATTTGCTTCCCAAAAGACAGTCAGCACCATCAAGCACTCTATCAATCAATACTCAGAGGTATTACAAAAAATTCTAGGCTAATTCAAGAGATTTAGAGGTTAAAAATCAACAAATAGACATAACAGACAAACAAGCAGTATTCTAGTGATATTCCAAGACTTAACAAAATACAAAAAGCAAATTAGATTGCCAGGATGTTCATTAGCAAAGATTTACAATGTAGAATTAGAGCCAAATCACTTAATCATAACACTGCATTTGTTCTCAGACTGAGCTCTGATACTGAAATGTAAGGAACTGTTTTAAATATGTCTGAAATTGATCTTTCATCTGGGCTACAATGACATATCCACACTTTGAAAATAATTTCTTAGGATAAGAACAGAAAGTCACACAAAGAGCCCAGTGCTCCGTCCCTCGCAGGGGTGGTATAGTGGTGCGTGTGTACGAGCTGCAGGTACCCAGGTGCTGGCCGGAGTGGCCTCTGCAAGAAGAGGCTGGGGCTGCCCTGTGCTGGACAGAGCCAGCTCCAATAGATGCACTGTGAGGCACAGATGTGCCCCTCAGCCACGGTGGTGGTGGCTCTGTAATAACGTATTTAAGAAAGGGAAAAATTGCTGCACAGCAGCTGTGAGAAAAATGTGGGAGAAACAGCCCTACAGACACCAAAGTCAGTGAATAAGGAGGGGGAGGAGGTGCTCCAAGTGCTGGAGGAGAGGTTCTGCTGAAGCCCATGGAAGAGACCTCAGTGAAGCAGGTTTATCCTGAAGGAACTGCAGCCTGTGGAAGACACCCCATGCTATTCTGACCTCACGTCCTGCTGAGGAGGGAGAATGACAGACCAAGCTGGCTGGGCACCTGGCAGTTGGGCAAGGTCAACCCACCACAACATGACTGCTTTCTAAGTTGCTGGCTTGGGTTCAGCTCCTGGTCAGTGCACGATAACATTTCAGAATGGCTAAAATATTGAAGCTGGAACAGTACTTGAACACGCATGCCCAGGAAAAGGTTTGCAGAACTGGAAAAACAGCAATGCTTCCCATGACTATGCTCCCCATCTTCAGTAGTTTGTACCTCAGGAACTTAGAACCACAGAATCACAGAAGCATTGAGATTGGAAGGGACCTCTGGAGGTCATTGGGTCCAACTCCCCCTGCTCAAGCATGGTCACGTAGAGCTGGTTACCCAGGACCATTCCCAAACAGCTTTTGAATATCTCTAAGGACAGTGACTCTACAACCTCTCTGGGCAACCTGAGGTATTCAGTCACCCTCACAATGAAAAACTGTTTCCAGATATCCAGAGGGAACCTCCTGTGTTCCAGTCTGTGTTCCATTACCTCCGGTCCTGTCACTAGGCACCATTGGAAAAAGCCTGGTTCTGTCCTCTTTGCACCCTTCCTGCAGGAGGTGCGTTGATGAGATCTCTTCTGAGCCTTTGCTTCTCCAGGCTGAACAGTCCCTGCTCCCTCAGCCTTTCTTCATAGGAGAGATGCTCCAGTCCCTTCATAATCCTGTTGGCCCTTCAACGAACTCTCTCCAACTGGTGACCCCAGCACAGGATATGGTACTCCAGGAAGGATCACCTCCCTCGAACTGCTGGCAACACTCCTCCTAACTGGGGGGATAAAAGGAGGCTGAAGAGACAGTGTTGATGCTGTGCAACCACTGCTCAGCAGTAGCCCAATCAATGCTGCATTACTAACACCTTTCTAGCTACAAAGCACAGCACTACGAGGGCCGCTATGGGGAAAGTTAACTCCATCCCAGCTGGACCCAATACAGTACACTGCTAACAATTTCTAGAGAAAAACATGCTAGCTATGAAGAGTTTATAATAAGTTTTCTGTTAAGCATTCAACATATGCTTGCTTAGCTTAATTCAAAGGAAAAAAAATAAGGACACAAAATATTGTCCCATTGCAGGTTCCTCAGCAAAACCTTCCCTTATTAACCCAGTCTGTGCAACAAGTACAGATAGAGTAATGAATATTAACATTAAAATTATATAGAAATTCAAATATGAAAGCAAATCACCATCAAGCTTTTAGAGACCGACTATTTCAAAAGTTATTGCAAGCACAAATACTGAGGAAATCTGGGGAGACTAAACATGAGTTGATCATTTGAATTTATTTTAAATGGAAATATATGTTTCTTAAATGTGCAATGCATTATTATAGTAAAAAAAAGATGCAGTTTATGCCTTCCCAGGTGAATATTTCTCTTTTATCAGATGTTTAAATTTTAGTTCAACTATTCTCCAAGTTTTGTGTCACCCTCAACACTCCACATCAGAAAAAAAACAACACAAAACAAAAATGGCGGGCAATTGTCCCACTCTACACTGCACTGGTGCAGCCCCACCTTGAGTACCGTGTGCTGTTTTGGGCGCCTCAATATAAGAGGGACATCAAACCATGGGAGTGTGTCCAGAGGAGGGTGACCAAGATAGTGAAAGGTCTCGAGGGCAAGACTTAAGAGGAGTGGCTGCGGTCACCTCGTTTATTCAGCTTGGAGAAGAGAAGGCTGAAGGGTTACCTCATCGCAGTCTACAGCTTCCTCAAGGGGGGCAGCAGAGGGGAAGGTGCTGATCTCCTCTCTCTGGTGACCAGTGATAGGACATGAGGAAATGGAATGAAGTTCTGTCAGGGGAAGTTCAGGTTGGACATTCTGAAAACATTCTTCACCAAGAAGGTTGTTGGGTTGTTCATCACTGGAACAGGCTGCCCAGGGCAGTGGTCATGGCACCAAGCCCATCAGAGTTCAAGGAGCATCTGGATGATGCTCTTAGTCATATGTTCAGTTTTAGGTAGTCCTGCAAGGAGCAGGGAGTTGGACTCGATGATCCTTATGGGTCCCTCCCTATGCGAGATATTCTATGATTCTATGAAAACCACCACCAAAACCTCTACTAAGGAGCTGCTCAGAGACACTTACAAAGCTCTACAAAGAATCAACAAGGATTCAAGCAGGGTTTACCAGTTACAGTTAAGCACAGGCACCATACAACCCAAGCTTGCTAACCATTTGCACATATCTGACAAGACTTTCTAACACTCCATGTTCCCAAAATATGATGCAAATATATGCAAGTTCAGACAAATCTATCGTCTCAGGCATCTGTGGCAAAAATCATCTATACCAGCCCCAAGACCAGAACCACATTGGAAGCATGACTTCAGCTGAACAGCACTATGCTTAAGGTATTCTGAAACCAAGCCACAGGTTCAACACAATCAGTGCTGGATGGCACTTACTCACTAATTAAGTAAGAACTAGCACTTCACACAACTTTTGCAAGAATCATGAAGTATCACCAAAAATGAGGAACAGCAAATACTGCTGCAGTTTTACAACAGTCCACACACAAACAAATCATACAGGACACTCAATCAATCTGTATATTTCTTGTAACTTTCCCTTTCCTGTTGCTTTGCTACCTGAACTCCCAAGGGAACAGGACTGTCAGCTTTCATGTAAGCTCATCAGGTCAATTAATGTGTTTTGTCTTCAAAAGATCAGAGGAGGGTAAGAGAAAGAAACATCATCACAACTGCATTATGAACCCTCTTCTCCTGCACTTTTGAACAGAAGTACTCTTTTGGACATGCTGCTCTAGGTTATACTTTATCTGTCAAGGTATGAGATTCTATGCAAAATCCTTGGGCACACAAAAGTGCATTAAAATCAGAAGAGATCTTGATGAGCAGTCTTTTTCATGGACCCATGAAATCCACAAAACAGTATCAGGGCAAACTATCTCAAACTCAGCAGATCACAATTTTTTTTTTAAGTAGCCCTAAAGCAAAGCACAAAAATACTTATTTTCACCTTACATTTTAAACTTTTTTCTCTAGTACTATTCCCTGCAACAGTGCAGGATATGCTAGAAACACAGATCATTTTAACGCTACTCATGAAATTCCATACATTTGCACCAAAAAAAAAGAAAAGATGCTCCAACTTACCCTTTACTTTTAGATATCAGCCCAAGAGACTGACAAAGACGGTGAACAAATGCTCTTTCAGTACTAGTGAAAGAAGAAGGAAATTCCATTTCTAGAAAGACAATTAAAAAAAGCAAACATAGCAACACAACACGCACTATTCGTGACATATCATCTCGATGTTACGAGTTTTTCAGTCCCTCAGCCTATCACGTTCTCCCGCGAACAACGGGAGTAACGGCATTGCTGTATCTGCATCCCTGTAAGCGATGCAGGGCTCGCAGGCAAGCCATCTTACTCGGGCAGAAAGGAACTGAGGAGAGGCTCCCACTGGCAAAGCGATGAAGAGCCCCCAGGCCTAAACGTCCGTCACAACCTC